AAACGTCCACTCCACGTCTGCTCCAAACTCACATGCCCACACTGAGCAGCAGCAGCAGCCAAGCAGAAGCTGTTACTCAGTGGGGGGAAAAGCAGCCCCTCTCCCTCACAGCTGCCAGGCCCTTCTTGTTGCAGCTTCCCAGAGCCTGCACCTGGGCTGCTGTGTGGCTCCTCTCTGCTGCCATCACCGCTGCCTCCAGCCTGCCCAGCAGGGCAGTGGTGGCAGTGCAGAGGAGCTGCAAGGCAGCCCAGGCACGGGCTCCGGGCAGCTGCAGCAAGAAGGGCCCGCAGTGGTGAGGGAAGGGCCGCTTTTCCTCTGCACTGAGCAGCAGCTTCTGCTTGGCCGCTGCCACTGCTCAGCATGGGCAGGTGAGTTTGGAGCAAGTGCAGGGCAGGCCAGGGTCAAGGCTGTTTGCACAGGCTCTAGCTCATCCCCTCCAGCCAGGACGAATTTGGAGTGAGTGCGGGGCAGGCCAGGGTCGGGGCTGGGGCTGTGCACTGCTGGTGGTGGTGGGGAGGAGTTGTAGGGAATATGGGCTCCTAGCTGTTGGGTGTGTGTGTGGGGGGGGGCTAGTGTTTAACTGTGTGATTAATTGCAACTGTTGGGTTTTTTTAAAACTTGCTATTAATTGCAATTAAATTTTTTAATCATTTCTCAGCACTAATTAAAATATTTCTAAACAAGGGTCTCTCTTACAGCCTGTCAAGCCTGCCACCATAATAGGTTTTCCCTTCTACCATACCATTCCCTCACTAGATCTCATATCAATGGAGAGGCTATACTCAGAAACTTATCCATCAAGACTTATGGAATATTCTGCTCAAAAATGTTTCTCTCTTGTTTCTAGAGTCCCTCACTCCTTGAATTTATCTCCAGACTCCTCTTCCTTGCTCAGATCTACTCCACCCCTAACAATCCTTTATTCATTTAACTTCTTGAAACTTTGCATTTTTAGAGACAAGTAAGGGCTTGATTCTGTGTACACAAACTTGCAGAGAGACAATAGGGCTGATGGGTAGGTAATCAAGTCTGTTGTGTCTCAACTTCCTATACTGCTGTTAACAAGGATGTTATCTCTGGAGACACAAATCTACAATTTGAGAACTGAAACTAAGCATCCCAGAGATTGATGCTTAATGGGATCTTCTAGACCAGCAGTTCTGAAATGGGGGTACATGTACCCCCAGGCGGTATGTGAAGCCTCGTCAGTGGGTACATGAGATATATTTCATACATTGTCTAACACAGGTCGAAGGCCCTAAAAAAAAGTCTCGACAAATTGCCAGGGTTTTACTGCTGTAAAAACGCCTGCATGTGGAAACCAGATATTCTACTCCTGCTCCATGCCTCAACCTTGCACTGGAAACGTCGTTCTTAGGGGGTATGTGAAGTCTCACTCTGAGACAAAGGGGTACGTTGAATGAAAAAGGTTCAGAACCACTGTTCTAGACTGCGCACTGAGTCCCATTGGTTAGAGTGGCTTTCTTTAATCTTTATTAATCTATGGAGGAGCCTCTGGAAGCCCCATAAGATTGGGCCCCCAGAACAGTCCATGACCTGTTGTGACCTATTTCTAAAACTTCTAAAAAAGTTACATGATTATATTGTCTCAAATAATATATCATTAGAAGTTATAATCTGTATTCCATGGTGAGGTCTTTGAGCTTTAACATACCTTAAATTAAAAATATCTTTATATAGGTTTTTTTTTTCAAGCATCTTAAGAAAAAATTAAAAGTATGATTAAATCAAATCTGATTTAAATTTTTAAAAATCCAATTTTTATCTGGAAATAACCGATACCTGACATAGCTCTGGTTGGTGTCATTGACAGTTTCTGTTACTTGGGTTGTACGATCAGCAGGAATCTTGACCTTCCAACATAACTGACTAACAGATTTGGAGAAGCAGGTAAGAATTTTGGGCTGTTACAGAAATGTACATGGAGTAACAGCAAACTATCAGCTAAGGTGAAGATGCAAATCTACAAGACGTGTGCGTTGTCATCTCTGCTTTATAGTTCAGAAACATGGACTACATATGCTAGGCATAGCAAGAGACTGAACAGGTTCCATATGAAATGTCTGCATAAGATCCTGAAAATAAAGTGAGAAGACAGAATACCAGACACAGAGGTACTGGAGTGCCCAGCACTGACACACTTAGAAACCACTATCAAGAAGAAAAAGGTGGTGATGGCTCAGCCATATCAGGAGAATGGGAGAAGACTGTATCCCAAAGAATATTTCATACAGTGGGATTTGAGATGGCTCTAAGGTGGGGTCTCCCTCTGTGGTGGTTCCACAATGTGTGCAAAAACTATATCAAGTTGTTCAGCGTAACATAGAAAACTGAATAGCTTTCTGTGCGCTCCTCCTGATCTGGAGGGAACATCTGGCTTAACATGAAGTGGCTTTGATCCGGAGGATGAAAGCAAAGCAAGAAAGAAGAAAGCAGCATGGTGTAAACTTGGACTCCAACTTAGACAACGTATGGATCTGTGAACCTTTTACCAAGCTGGGTCGCTCTCAGATTGGGCTTGTCAGTCACAACGGATTCATCAGGCGTCTGATTAGACTTCTTTCATGTGCACCTTGATCCAGAAGATTGACAGTTGCCTACTAGGTCAATGCATTGTGTGCTCTACTTTAACTCTGTAATAAAATAAGTTCTCTTCATAGTAAACTTGCATTGTAGCCAGACTCTGTTAGATCAATGTATCCATGAGCCCAGAATGTTTATAGAAGAGTTAGGTGTAAGCACAATTGTTAAAGTGATGCTTTTGGAATGAAATGTAAGGCCCATCTTGCCATATATGCCTCATAATCAAACAAACTAAGTTTGTACCTTCTCAAGAAAATTGAGAGTAAGAAAAGAAAATTTGTAAATATGGGAAGATGATTTTTAGGGTTTAACTTTTTGTACTTTCTAAAGGTACTACTGATATAGTTGTTTTAAAGATCAGGCTCTTGCATTTTTTAGAGCTGCTTTAGTGTCTTGTTTGAATATTCAGTAACTTGCATTCTTCATTTTGTTGGGCTTTTCTACAAATCAAAGTACTGTTACATTTGGGACATTTCTTAAAATGTAATAAAACTGATTTTATACAGAAATATGTCCAACATGGGAGCACTACACCATCAGAAACTATAATCAAGTACCAGTGGCAGTTTTGGAGCATTAATAACATGACTTTATCATTCTGAAAATACCAGTAAGATACACTTTTGCTTTATATCAAGTTTCCTTCAGTCCCTTCTTTCCCGTTTTCTTCACAGGTATCCTTCATCCAGAACCTTGTCTTTTGTGTGGAAAGAGCATATCGAGTACCCGATTTTGGTGTCTGGGAAAGAGGAAGTAAATACAACAATGGGAGCACAGATTTACATTCAAGGTAATTTGCATACCTACTTATAATGTGAGTGTAAATAATTCAGGTAATGGATCAAAATAGCTTATTACAGTAGTGTACTCACTTCTTTGGAAAATGCATTATGTTTTGAGTGAAATTGTAACTGAGGACCTTTGAAGACTCTCATTTATGATTTAGAAAAATAACCCCAATTTATATACAATTTGCATGCACAAATAAGTGCCATAACCATGTGAAGCTGCATGTTTTGTTCTTTTTTTAAAAATGAAAACGCTACAGGAAAGTTCCATCATAAACTACCATTGCATCCCTAAATTTCAGAATCATCCTTTTCAAAAATGTGTTTTTGGAATTTAAAGATGTTAGTTTTAAAAGGAAACATTATGCATAACATTAAATGAATAGTAGTGTTTATGAAGAATTAGGTTCCTTTATTCTTTCATCTTCGTTAATAAAGTTAATGGGCACATTCATATATTCATTACAAAAATGCAAGAGTGTTTTCTGCTGAACAAGAAATGACATTATTTTTTTGTTTCTGGAAAAACCAGTATTTTGTAGAAGTGCACTGACACATTGGTCCCATATCAGATTGGCGCCAATATAAGGAAAATTGACAGTATTAGGAATTGGATTTTTTTGGCTGAAGTGGCCAATAAATGGCCCATGCATGCGCAGCCACAGTGCAGCATGCAAATGGCCAAGAGCTCAGCCCGGCAGCATGGAGAGCAGCCAGGTCTGTCTGTTTCATAGTTTCTAGGTTCGGAAGGGACATGAGCAGATAATCAAGTGTGACCCCCTGCCCTGGGCAGGAATGAGTGCTGGGATCATAGTACCCCAGCCAGATATCTATCCAACCTCCTCATGAAGATCCCCAAGGTAGGGGAGAGCACCACCTCCCTTGGGAGCCCATTCCAGAGCCTGGCAACCCTAACTGTAAAGTAATGCCACCTAATATCAAGCCTGAAGCCTGGTAAGACTGTTGTGAGGGAAAGGGCGTAGAGTGGGACAGATCGAGGCCCCCGCGGTAAGAGAGGAAGTGGGGATGCAGCTGGGGTAGGGGCAGATGCTGCAAGAGCAGAGTGGGGGATGGAGCCGCAAGTGGCTTGTCCCAGGGCAGGGCAGCTCCCACCGCTGCATGAACCCTGGGAGGGCATGGGGGGCACATGCGCCTGAATCCGCATGCAGGGCAAGGGCAGGCTGCTACTGTGGCCTGGGGCCAGGATGGTGCTGGGCTCTTCCTGACAGGGGGCTGGACCAGGCTGTGCTTGGGGCAGGCAGCGACTATGGGGGGCTACAATGAATTTTGGGGTGACTGCAGCCCCCCTCCCAGCACAGTCACAGTCCACCCTGAGTGCAGCCCCGGCCCAACCTCCACCAGAAAAAGCTCGATGCTGCCCCAGCCCACAGAAGCAGCCTGCCCTCGCCCCGCACGCAGATCTGAGGGCACACACCTCCCATGCCCTCCCATGATGCGTGCAGTGGTGGGAGCTGTTCCCCCGACATTCCCCTGATGAGCTGCTTGTGGCTCTGTCCCCTATGCCACCCCACCCCACCTGGGCAGCGCCTGCCTCCACCCCAGCCCCACTCCCTCCCTCACCATGGGTGCCTCAGTCTGCTCCCCTCTTGCCCCTTACCCCACAACAGACTTAACAGCCATATGCTGTTCTCCATGCTGCCTGGCTGCATATCAGAATCAGATCAGTATCGGCTGTTATGGCTTGTTAAAAATCAGCCGTTGGTATCAGCCCAAAAATTCTCTATCAGTGCACCCCTAGTATTTTGGGTACTTCTCATCTTCCATTAGACTGATAAGAAACTCAGAAGTTTTTTGGTTTCCAGAGTAATTTTGTTCATCAGGTTGTTGATCCACCCAACTTTAAAGTGTCACTTTGAGTGGCAGGATATGAGTTCTTTAATTTCAAGAGCATTTCAAGGATTGTACTAACGATACACCTTGGCATTCCCATAAGCTGATCATTTCACGCTGCCAGATAATGTATTCTTTCGTGGTCTAATTGCTTTATGATGAGAATGTCAATATATGTACTATTTTTTTATTCATGTACTCCTGAAATATAATTGAAATAATATATAAGCAAAATTTGTGCTCCATTAGCTATGAAGTCATTAAGTCTGTGACTTTTTAGATGATAAATATAATATTATTTTAGAGAAAATGGACTTAGAAATAGTGTAACTTTATTTTTTTAAAGTAATAATGAGAGCCTGACAGTATTACTTCCATTGTATGACATATTTATCAAATGCGGAAATTTTATTGACTTCAGGTGCTTGCATGCATTTAAAACCAACCCCATGTATTCTTATTTCTCATTGAAATAAAAGCTTATATTTACATATCATCATATTTACTCAGTTTTATGCACACAGTGGTGTGGTGGTGGGGAATAAAACTGAGATATGATTGTTTTATTATTTATTCTTTCCTGGTATGAAGTCTACACATGCCATATCACATCAAAGTTCACCTATATCATTGCCTACTGTCATTTAACAGCCTTCCCTCTATCTCTAAACAAAACAAAAAAAAAAGTTTTAAATTATGTCCTCTGTATCTTCCAATATTTTCAGTGTAGCAATATCTTGTGTGCAAAGTTCTCTAGGCAGGCACTGGAATTTATTGGGTGTACTATATAGGACTGATCATATTCTGTTCCTTAAATTACACTAGCATATTGCTGTGACTAGTGGCAACTAATTCTGCCACTGCCCCCTTGCTGCTAAATTTTCAGACCTATGGGGTGCCCTGGAATCTGGATGATGTGGCTCTGTGGATCTGGCCCACAGACTGTATGTTGGTACCACCTGGTAAAACCACTGTTAGTACCTCAAGCCCATATGCAAATGGTTGCACTCAGTTTCACTCTTGGTTATTCATGTGGAAAAACTAAGGTGTGGATTCTCTCCAAAAATGAAGGAAAAATGAAAGAGAAATGTGCACTTAAGGACCTGTTTGGATGAAAAAAAGAGTAAGTAGGCAATTGTAAAACACTAGTAAAGTAACATACAAGAATAGCAGGAAAAATCCACAAAATTTAATGCTACTTAAGGCTATAGTATAATTTGCTTGTCCATGTTTCACTGCAATGATTATGAAGTGAGAAGAAAACTTAGGTCTCAGTGCATTTTATGCTGGACTTCTACCAATTCATAGAATCATAGAAGTAGGGTCGGAAGGGACCTTGTAGATCTTCACGTCCGACCCCCTGCCTGGGCAGGAGAAAAACTGGGCTCAAATGACCCCAGCCAGGTAGGCATCAAGCCTCTTCTTAAAGACCCCCAGGGTAAACCCTAAAGCTTACAGTGTACCTTCTAACACTTGTTTACTTTTGTAATTGGAAATTATTTCCTTTCTTTAGTGGATGTAGGCTCCTTCTGTACAGGATACAATCTGGTTCAAAGTATTTGAGTGATAACCAAAAATTCCAGCCTGTGATTCAGAGGATACAAAAATCTTTAGAATATTTTCTAAGGATTACTTTTTTTAGGTTAGTTCCCAGACTCTTTTGATCAACTGAGTGGTGAAACAAGCTAATCCAGATCCTTATTTGCCACTGCTTCACTGTTACTTTTAGGTGTTATGCTGATTTGCAACTTATCAGGGATCATTATTTCTTACTAAAAGGTTTTTTAGAAGTTCCTGTGGAAGTTGGTAATACTTCTAGATGGAAAGATGCAGAGCTCTTACTTACTCTTGTGTCAAGTTGGCCAAATGGGGCTCCTCCATTCTTCTTGCAGATACTTTTACTACTGGATTTTTTTCATGGGGGAAATTGAACCAGTGGGAAGCAGTAGACATCAACGGCAAACTTTTTTGTAATAGTTTATATTAGAGCATGATCTTCTTCCCATATGTTTGAGCTTCTGAAAAATTAATTTGTCCTGTAACCATTTGATCAAGCTGTTCTCCAAGCATCTGCTGAATACCTCTGCAGAATGTCTTTGACATCTCCCATATGTGCTATTGATAGAAATTATGTTTCTGGAACACACCATCTTTATATTTCAAGTCTGAAAAGCATAGGATTCCTGATCTTTTTCCCTTTATTGTGCAGGTAATAGTCTTCTGTCATGTTGTCTGTCCCTGGTAAAAAATAAATAAATAAAAACCAGTTTGGTCTGGACACCCTTTTAAATAGTTTTAGTACTTTCTTTAAACTTGTGTTCTAGTTTCATGCATCCTTGTTGTTGAGCCCATCAAGAGAGCAAAGTAAGATGTTATTTTTTCAATATTAATTTGCAAGGTATGAAGTATAAACATGACTCGGGGGGAAATATGCAGATGATGTATTTTCTGTTGCCTTTCTCCTGATTTTTCAAGCAAGAAGTCATTTTTCAATTAAGTATCAACCAAATGTCTGCAATGTAATAGCAGTCTCAAAGTACAAAATATTATAATGCATACTGTCTAGTTTAACCAGTATTTGAAGACAGAGTTGCTGTTTCAATTCTTAAAATGCATTGGCCAATTTCCTCCTTATTTTGGAGTGCAGTGAGATCTTCCTCAGGTAGTTATCACCTACAAAATGTGCAATTAATATTCTAAGCCGGGGTGGGCAAAATATGGTCCGCGGGCCGGATGGGGCCCGTGAGGCCATTCTATCTGGCCCATGAGGCCTCTAAAAATTTTTGAAAATTAATGTTTCTCTGTCTTTGCTTCCTGTAAAAAATGACAGGAACCAGGGGCAGTAGGATTCAGGGGAAGCCAGGGCGCTTCCTGCAACAGCAAGGCCTGCCAGGCCCCACCCCCCCAGCCAGAAGCCCCAGCAGGAGCTTCTGGCCTGTGACCACGTGATTGCCCTGGCACGGGAAGCTCAGGTAAGGGTGGGGAAGGGCAAGGGAGGACCCCAGGCAGGGAAGGAGCCTGGGGAAAAGTGGCCTCCTGCCCACCCTGTGGCCTGCGCTTCCTGCTGAATCCACTCGTAGCCATGGGGCTGTCCTGAACAGGCACAGGCAGCCCCAGGTGGGCTGCGAGCGACTGCAGCTTGGGGCACTGG